CCAGTTATCGCTGGGTCTTAAAAAAGAAAAACCCACACATACCCCATGAACAAGGCACTGGTAGAACTTTACTACTGCAAGGATAGCTCACAAGCACCAGTTGTAAAGTCTTGACATTAGGCTTTTAACAGCTCAGGTTAGCAGGAGGGGATAAACTGCTACTGGCTGCGCATGGAGTGGTCTTGAAAGCTGCTTTCCAGGTAGTTAAATTAGCCAGAACCTAGAGGAACATTGTTTGAGACTCCTAGCAAGAGGAAGAGAATTTTAACAGATACTGACCGTTTTTAAATAGATATATATCTATAGTTTCTTCCCACTTGTTCTCACTTGCCACCTGGAATTGTTCTTAGCTTTTGTACTTATTGGCAAAGCCTCCGATTGACTTCAACGGGCTTTTGATCAGGACCACCTTGAAAACGGCCAGCAGTATTAGTTCTATAACCCTATAGAAGAACTAACTGTTCTTCTGCCCCATAACTCTTAAATCTGTCTTTTTTCATGATTATTTTTTATTCCGAAGTTCCATCTAGAAGCGTTCGCAGCCTGGCTCGGGCAAAGATGTGCCCCAATCCTATCCAGCAGAATGAAGATGCTCTGAAGGGTGGTTATTTTGGATGTTGACTATTGGACTGGGCTATCAGCCTCTTTTGTGGACAATATGCAGAGCCTAAGGCAGTGAGTCCAGGGTGTTCTGGTCTTGAAAGCATATTAGTAAGGGGGCTGGTGTTACTATGGGGTAATGCTCTGACTTTTTATCTCTGGACAGCTTAAATAAAAAATTGGGTTGGATTTCTAGGCCTGCCGCAGCTCCTAGTGACCTCAATGGGATGTGGATTAGGCCCCTTATCACTAATGAACATTTTTCTACATTACTGAACATTGCTGCGCATTTGGCAATTCCAGCTCGGGTACAGTCCAGACTGAAAGGTCAGGGAGGGGAGGGATACGGAAATATTGCTTACTGCCAAACTGCTATTCTTGCCTGGCCAGCACTATTACTTCATCGCTTTCAGGATTACAGACCTAATTGCTTCTTAAAGGGACACTATGTTATTTTAAAATTGATGGCCAACATCGTCAAGTGACCTCAAGTTTGGGGTGCTCAGGATTAGTGGAACAGAAAGGTGGCTTGGAGCCAGTCCTCACCCTCTACCCCCCTTTCTTCGATACAGTCTAAATTCAGTATAGCTTAGGGTCCAGCCCCAAATGGTTAAAGGCATGGGAAGCAGTACATGAAATTGTGCTATGTCAAATATTTCACTCTTCTGTTTGCACCCCACCCTCTTCTTGATAAAAATACAATGAGGCCTTTTTATAGCAGCCATAGATGAGAGAGCCAATTTATTTCTTTGTCCCTTATAAGCGTATGCGCACCAGGCTCTGCCTGACAGCGGGGTAGTGACTGGCAGGTCTACTGTGCTATGGGAGAAGAGAAACAAGAGCAGGAGATCTTTGGGGGAAGGGGGTGCCACCTGCTTCTAGTTTAATCACAGGGGTTCACTTGCAAACACAGCTGCACGGAAAAACGAATTCAGCTGCCTCTAAGCTAATTCCATTGTGTAGTCTCCCCCTTTGTAGCTCCCGGGCTGATCCTAAAACATACAAAACAAAGGAAACAAATTTGGAATTCTCAGCTGACTCCCAAGTAGACCCCGTGGAATATAAGGACCCACAGTAAGCATGCCGCTGGGCTGGCCCTGACCCAAAGCCTGTTGAAATCAATGCAAAGACTCACGCTCACTTCCTTGCGGGGGGCCTGACCCAAAGCCCACAGAACTAAGTGAAGAAGCTCCATTAGGAATATGGGGAAGTGAGGAAGAAAGGTTTGTTAAATATAAAAGGCCAGTGGCTGGGGAAGAATTACTGTCATATTTCTGGGAAGGTTTCATAAGCAATAAAATAAAAATCCTAGATTACTGGAGAAACAACACTTGCCCGTGTCCTTCCTTAGTGCAGTGCTGTTAGAATCATAGAAGCTCAGGGTTGGAGAGACCTCAGGAGGTATCTAGTCCAGCCTGCTCACTAAGGGCTCAGTCATGCCCCTGGGATCTCCCCTCCCTTCCTGCGGAGTGTGGATCAGGGGGGCTTTGCTTTCTCTGCAGCAGCATTTCCCCTCCTACATCCTGCAGACGGCTGTGGGGAAACGTGGGGAGGCTGGGAGCGGGGCGCACTAGCTCTGCAGAGATTCAGCCAGAGGGACTTTTTCTAGGCCCCCTTCCATGTTGGGGAGCCCCCACTCTAATGGGTCCCAGAGCAGTTGGTAGCAGGAGGGTTATAGGCAGAGCTCCACCTTAAGGAAGGATATACTGGGGTGGCCCTGGAGGTCTGTGGGCAGAACCCTCGCTGTGTCTCAGGGGAGGATGGAACCTCGAGAAGGGGATCCTTGCAGCGGGTCCCGTGCCTCCCCAGGCATTGCCACCACCCAGCCCCAAAGTTACTTCAGTCGCCAGTCAGCTGGGAATGCCACTTCTACAAATTAGTGCTTTCCTATCAGCCCTTAGTCACAGCCTAGGATAGCTGCTGCTGGCTCCAGGAATCTGAATCCCTGCAGGCAGTAGTGTCCAAAGTGGAGGCTAGCAGGCTGCAAAGGCAGCAGTTGTGAGCTGTATGCAGGCCATCCCTAGGCGGGTCACGGGGCACGGGACCCAGGCGCAGAGTTTCTAATCTGCCGGGGGGTGCTCCCCCAGGCCCCGCCCCCACCCTGCTTCTTCCCCTCCTGGCTCCGCCCCCACCCCATCTCTTCCCACTTCCTCACCCCGCTTGCCCACCCACCTCCTGCAGGGCCCAGGACGGTGGCTCTGATTCGCTGTACCCCAGGGACGGCGCTGCCTGTGCGTGATGAACAGACAGCGGTGCCCAAACACCTCAAGGCGCGCAAACAAACCCAGAGCTAAGGTAAGGCTGGAGCCAGGGCTCAGATCCAAGGGCTACTGATTTGCCAAGGCCCCATCCTGCCCCTCCACATGGATCTGCCATTGTGTGCAGGCAGGCCATAGGGCTCTCCCTAACCCTCCAGTCAGGGCACAGGGCCTGGCCCTACCTTGCCATGGGGGGCAGAAGTGACTCAGTGTTTTTATTTTCTGAGATTGAAGGGTTAGGAGCTAAAGACCTTGGCACCGATTCTGAGCAGCACGTCTCAGGAGGTGCAGCCTGGTGGGGGGCTGGGGCAAAAGTGGCTTTACATCAACTGTCCATGTCTTAAGTCCTGGGCCCCAAAGGCTGCTCTTCCTTAAAGCTGTTTCCCAAGGCTATTAGAAGCCAGAACTTACTAGTCACAGCCCTCCCCAGCAAGGCCTTACCCTGGGACTGTGCTGGGGGTAGCACAAGACCATGTTGCTGCTCCCAGGCTAGCCCGGGAACACGCCTAGGGCCTGGGTGTTCGCTGGCAGCTGGCATTGTGAACACTTGAAGAAAACAAATATTAATAGACTTGCAATAAACTAGGCAAAGTTGACAACACTGGGACCCTCCTAAATCATCTGAAATCTGGTGTGCATTGGGTTAGTTTAAATAGACAAAAACCTATACAAAATGTGTTTAAAAACAAACCTATAGTTGTCTACCCAGAGACTTGCTCTGGTTGAAACAAGGCCTAACACTGCTTTAACCTGCATTTCTAGGTCTCCGATGCCCTGCCCAGATATTGACACCAACGCAAGAGGAGTGCAAATGCTACCAAATCAGCACTGGCAGAGGCCTGTCCTCACTTTGTGTGGGTGGGAAGGACAGCAATGGAGACTCAAATCCTGAGGTGCCAGTGTCTCATGCTTCCTCTGATGGCTCTGCTGCAGAACAGCACAAAATAATCTAGCTACAAAGAGATCTTAAGAGATCCATTTCCTTCCCCCGAAAAAGAGAAATCGAATCCTTTGCAACTTGTTTATATTAAATTCCTTATCACACAGCACAGGGCCGGGGCTCTGGAGTTTGCAGTACCTTTCAGAGTTGCATTTATTTTCATGTAACAACCTAACAGCAGCTCACAGCTGAGCCATATCTGGGGCAGAAGACAAATGGGAAGAGGATTTAGTTTCTGTCTCTTACGTAGAGATGCAGAAGATGGCTACTAGTAACAATCACGTTCTAATGCCTTTAGTCAGCAGAATAGGCTTGCGTGAATGGAGTTTTACTCTTTTAATCATGCTCTAAAGTTCAGAATGATCAAAACTAGAAAACAAAAATTAGTGTTATACAAATATAATGAGAGTTCATTCCATGTAGCAATATTTTGATATTTGGCACTGAAACTGTACTGGTGTAGTTAAAGTGGTAGCTCTCCTCTGGTGTGGACACACCCATACCAATACAAAGGTGAGGATAATAGTATAGCTCAGGGGTAGGCAACCAATGGCACGCGTGCTGAAGGCGGCACGCGAGCTGATTTTCAGTGGCACTCACACTGCCCGGGTTCTGACCACCGGTCCGGGGGACTCTGCATTTTAATTTAATTTTAAATTAAGTTTCTTAAACATTTTAAAAACCTTATTTACTTTACATACAACAATAGTTTAGTTCTATATAATAGACTTATAGAAAGAGACCTTCTAAAAACGTTAAAATGTATGACTGGCATGCGAAACCTTAAATCAGAGTGAATAAATGAAGACTCGGCACACCACTTCTGAAAGGTTGCCGACCGCTGGTCTAGCTTATTCCTGACCAGGAAGGGAAGGAAGCTATACCAGTATAAGGCACCTTCCATGCTAGGATTGTACCAGTACAATTATTGGGAAAAACTAAAAACAACCCTAACCAAAATACTTCTACTGGTACAAAACCTGTGTGTAGAGTGAGCCTCAGACACTTCGCTATCAGAGCTAGGTGGAGCGCTGGTCTGAGCCAGCAGAGCTCTTCCTATATTCCTAAACTGAACAAAACAAGTACAGTTGTTGCCATGGGGTGACAGGTTCCTCCTACCAAATATAAACTTCTGTATAAAATGTATTGCAGGCAAAAATGTTGCACATGCCAGATTTTCATTCCCATTGTTACTAACACTTTTACATTCCCAGCATTGATTCAACATCATCTCAATAAGTTAAATGTGAACAAAAATGTAATGCAACGGTCATTGTGAAATATTTGCAGGGCTACATGAAAGTGACACCGCTAAGGTAGCTTTTGCGTTACCGTTCATTTAGGTCCCTAGAACATTTTCCATACCATGTGTCTTGTTCAAGATGCCGTCTGATTTTAATAGTTATAAATATATACCTGCCGCAAAACTGCTGCCCCATAGCTGGATGCCCCATAGCAGCAGCTGTGCTTCCTTTTTCCTCTTGTGTTCTTCAGCCTGTTCTGGCCGCAGGGGTGGTCTGACTCTCCGACCACGAGACTTTCAAGAGTCTGACCCCTTCTGGGACCACAGAGTCCTTTAATGCATCCCAGAGAAACATAACTAAATCCTCAGCCCCAGTCAGGCTCATCTGGCCATCCCGTTCCTGCGCAGGTAAACCTCCTCCATCATCAACATCCTCACTCCATGCCACAGTCAGGGCCAGACAGTTCTCTGCCTTCCCAGGGGTCCTGGGTCCCTCAGCAGCTCCTGATCTTTCTGCTGGCTCACCTCAGGGGCAGCCTGTCCATTGGTCTCCATGTCTGCTGAAGGTAGGACAAGAAGTAATGGGCTCCATCTCTTGCAAGGGAGGTTTAGGTTAGATATTAGTTGACACTTTCTAACTAGAAGGCTAGGTAAGCTCTGGAATGGGCTACCTATGGAGGCTGTGGAATTTCCATCATTAGAGCTTTTTAAAAACAGGCTGGACAAACATCTGCCAGGGCTGGTCTAGGTTTACTTGGTCCTTAGCAGATGAAGCTGGATTTGATGACCGCTTGAGGTCCCTTCTAGCCCTATATTTCTAAGATTCTCCAGCCTTCTATCATCCCACTTCCCGGAGGGAGGGAACACGCTACGTACTCTCCTCTCCCAACTGACCTTCTCTCTCCTCTTTTAAGTCCACCCCCTTCACCTGACCACACCCTCCCCAGGTGCAATCAGTGAGGTTACTGACACTTTCAGGCTCCCTTAACCCTTCTGGTGTTTGTACGGGGTTTACATCACTATATCATAATATACAGATTTACATAGCTAAGCCAACCCTGCTATAGAAATCTTAGCTTCTGCAGTTCTATCTATCGTAAGTGCTTATATAGTCCCCATTAGTGCTATATCCAAGCGCTTAACAAGCTTTAATGGATTTCTCTTCACAACTCCCCGGTGATGTTGAAAAGTGCTGTTATCCCCATTGTACAGATGGGGAGCTGAGGCCCAGAAGCCCAGAGCCACAAAGGGATTTAGGCTCCTAACACCTTTGTGGAACTGGGCCTAAGTGACTTTCCCAAGTTCATGCAGAAAATCTATGATGGAGCAGGAACTTGAACCAGTCTCTCTCAAGGGCTAGATTAGTGCCCAACCCCCTGAACCATCTTCCTTCTCTGCATTCATCCTAAACAAGCAGCCTTAGTTTTGCACTAATCTTGCTTTTTATATATAAGTAATTTGGGTTTAAGACAAATATGTTTGCCCGCACTTCATGTTAGCATTGACAATTAGACTTTGAACTTCATCCCTCATTAAGATGCATGATGTAAGAAATGCACATTCTAAACCATATTAGCCAATTAATTTAATTAACCTATTATCTACCAAGTTTCTAAGGACTAGACTACACTACAAAATTAGGTCAATATAACTACGTCGCGCAGGGGTGTGAAAATTCCACACCCATGAGCGACGCAGTTAAATCGACCTAATCCCTGGCATAGACAGGAATTCTCCTGTCGACCTAGCTACCGCCTGTCGGGGAGGTGGAGTGCCTATGCCTTCAGGAGAACCCCTCCCGTTGGAACAGGCAGCATCTACACTGAAGCACTTCAGCAGCACACAAGCCCTCAGGTTCTTTTTAGATCTGTTCCTCAGCTAAAATACAGACTGGGGAAGTATGGTAAATGTATCCATTCATTAGCCAAAACAGAATTTCAAAAGCAACTAAGAAATTACAGAAAGTCGAATAAAGCTGGTTAGGTGATAGTGTTGACAGTGTTTAACAGAATGAATTAAACATGGGATGTTACAGTTGACCAAGAAATAAAAACAGAGAGGGTTGAGGTGGCACCACGTCATGTAGCCAGGGAAAGGCCTATGGCCATGAGGTGCAAGTGCCACCCTCTACAGGTACCACTAGGCAAATTTCTCAGGTTCCAGTGTGCTGGGTGCACACACACCTATGTGAAAAAGCAGATGACGATATCGTGTTACCAACTCTTACAAATGTAATGCAGCTCTCATTATATTTGGTGTTTTCCAGCTCCAGCTGCTAGAATCAAGAGACTGAATAAGAAGCTCAACTTTCTTTTCTTTTCTTTTTTTAAGGGAGGTTCTAACCCTCATGGTTGCAGGGAAAAGACTGAAAATGTGACGCACATGCACACTTAAAGGCTCAGAAACCAGAAGAAACAAAAACTTAACATGTATTATTTTTAAAACCCCTCTGGACTTTTAAGCCAAATCTCATGTTTTGGGGCTGGACTCATGATTTTTGCATGCTTGGGGTTGGCAGGGCTGCACTGAGGGCTTGTACCACTTTAACTTACGGTGGGAATTTAAGCTTATTTAGTTAAAACTCTGCACATCCCTGTGTAGACACGCTTATTTCAATTTAAGAGTGGCTTATTTTGATTAAGCTTAAAACTGCTCCCAATCAATCTGTTACTGCTCCCAATCAATCGGTTTTGTTGGCAGAATCTTTTCTGCTTTTGTTTCGTTCTTCTGCCTGAGATTGAGGACTTGTTCCTCCCTGGCACTGGAATGAGGTTGTGACCATTGAAAATGGAATGAACCTACTGCAGACTCAGCTCAGGCAGCATTAGGATGAGACGTACATCTCCATTTCCTGTTGCTTTCTGCAGGGCTCTAAACAGCAGCTCGGCTAGTATTTCATCACGAATGTGTGGGACGCACCGACCATTCAGGACTGGATTTCCAGGAGCTTGCCAGGGCAAAATGAGTAATTTAGGTAGGCAGAAAATGGGGGTTGGCTCCACTGGCAATTCAAGGCACTTTTGAGACAGTAATGTAAGTGGCCCCAGATGACCCTGGGCACCCCAGGCAAGGAGCAGGGAGAGAATGGAGGGTAGCATTCTATTATAGGCAGCATGCATAGAGACCCCTATAGATCAGGTTGCCCGATGCATCCATTCTGGGCACTGAATGAGGTAGGAGCCCTGTGGGGAAAAAACGGTATGTGACAGTGTAAATTAAAATTTAACAGAACTTATTTGCACAAGGGGCCAGAATTAAGGTTGTATGAGCAAAATCAAGCTACCGTTCTGGATCAGTTTGAGAGCCCAGCCCTGGTCTGGGGGGTAGTGGTGAGAGGTCTCTTGAGTTAGTTTAGGGCCTGAACCACGTAGCTTTCTCCCAGCTGCTGCCCACACGAGGAAAAAGGGGCTCCTGGAGGGGTTTTCCTCTCTCCTCCCATGTTGACAAGAGACAGAGGGCCTGGCAGCGTTACAGCTTGGGAAACACCAGTTAAATAGGAGATGATGTGGGCTTCTTCTCTGCCTAGGACTTGCTAGAGGATCACCAGCAGTCAGCTTAGGGGTGGCTCCTGCAGTCAGCTGACCCAACAGATGTGCAGACGGATGAGAGGCGCTGAGAAGCTGAATATCCCTGTGTGTTGTGGGAACGGCCATGGATGCCGTTCACTGGGGACAGCCCTGGTCAGGGCATTGTTCCTCCATCGGGTGGTCTCTCTGATGCATGTTCAGGCTGGTTTTCTTGCGGAAGCCCTTCCCACACTCCGAACACATGTAGGGCGTCTCGCCGGTGTGGGTTCTCCGGTGTGCAATAAGGGGGGAGCGCGCATAAAAGCCCTTTCCACACTCAGGACACTTGTAGGGCCTCTCTCCCGTGTGGATCCGCTGGTGGGCAAGCAGAGCGGAGCTCTGGCTGAAGCCCTTCCTGCACTCGGGGCATTTGTAGGGTCGCTCCCCCGTGTGGTTCCTCTGGTGTTTGATGAGGGCAGAGCTGTTTGTGTAGCTTTTCCCACACTCGGCACAGCGGTAGGGCCTTTCGCCCATGTGCAGCCGCTGGTGGGCGGTGAAGTCTGAGCTTTGTGCAAAGCCCTTCCCACACTGGGAGCACTGGTAGGGCCGCTCCCCCGTGTGCACTCTCTGGTGCGTGGCCAGGTTGGAGCTCTGGCTGAAGCCCTTCCCGCATTGGGGGCATTCATAGGGCTTCTCTCCAGTGTGGAACCTCTGGTGGATGATGAGGTGAGAGCTCCGGCTGAAGCCCTTCCCGCATTCGGGGCATTGGTAGGGCTTCTCGCCCGTGTGTGTTCTCTGGTGGGTGATGAGCTGCGAGCTCTGGATGAAGCTCTTCCCACAACTGAGGCACTGGTAGGGTTTCTCCCCAGTGTGGATGCGCCGGTGCTTAGCCAGGGTGGAGCTGACGGTGAAGCCTTTCCCGCACAGAAGACATCTGTAGGGCTTCTCGCCCGAGTGGATTCTCTGATGTCTAGTAAGACCTAAGCTCCCACGGAAGCTTTTCCCACAGTCGGGGCATGTGTTCTTTCCCTCTCCCGTGTGGAGTCTCTGCGGGATTGGGAGTCATTGAGGTCACCTCCCCCAAGCTGGATGGATTTCCCCAGTCTCTTTGCTGGAGGGTTTCTTTGTTCCCTTTTGGACCTGCCTGGACTCTCAGAAGCTTTTCCCTGCTCAAGAGGGCAGAAATTTCCCTGCGCTTTGGATCTTCCCAGTAATGTCACATGAAGTTCCACTTGCTCAGGTCTCTCCTCCTCATTCTCATGCATCATCCCATGACCTGCTGGGATAGCGAGAGAGCCAGAAGTGAGTCACTCCCTGTGCTGGGAAAACAGGGGGCCTAAGACAGGGCAGGGAGGTTGCAAACCAAAATAACTGTTTGGGAGATTGAGGAACCTGGAGCTGAATCCCCCCAGCCATTCCTCCGAGGTGATTGAGGTGGGACTGGTTCCACCACCTCGTGCCATCCAAACTCTATGGAGGACAGGAGGGCACAAGAGGGAATTACCAGAAGGTGGCAGTCAGGATTACTGGACAGTCACAAGGATATGACACCTGCCAATACAATCCTAGCTTTCTACTCTCTCACCATAGTTTCCTGACATCAGTCTCCCACGTTCCCTACCTGTACAGGTGCTTCTTAGGTTCTCCCTTTCCAGGACCAATGGCTCTTCCTCCAGTTCCATCTGAGAGATCACATTGGTAATTAGACACAGTGCTGGGCAGGGGAGGGAGAAAACACATCAGGGTAAATTACACGATTGTGGAATCTCTCACAAAAATCTCCCAAGCTATTATTCAACCGTAGAACTCCTGAGCTTGCTCTCAGTGCTCAGAGCTGTAGGGGATCAGAATCAATCAGCCACTGAGCCCCTGCCTATGTCCAGTGCCTTTTCCCCTGAGCCCCACCTGGCTCCGCTCTCCACGTCTGCAGTATTGCCAGCCTCCAGAAACCAAAAATTAGGAGGGGTTATTTAAATCAAACCATGTTTTTCCATCTGTCTTTTGACTTTTAACTCTCCTCGATTCCTCTGCCAATGGGGGTGTCAGAATTCCACTTGAAAAGGCAAACTTTAATGGACATAACCATGCAAGCTACTCCATTTACCATCTCCTCACCCCTAACATAGAGGAACTACCATCCAATTCTTATTGCCAAGTCCCCCTGCTCCCTCCTCTACCTGGGTCCGAGCAGAACAATCCAACTCCCCATTCCCTGCCTCCCATTCCCCCGGGCCCCTCTCTCTGTTCCAGGGCCATACAGGTCAGATCTGAATCCTCAGCCCTACAGCGCTTGCACAGAACGCTGCCCACACCCCCAGCCCGGAAGATGGTGGGTTTGCAGTGACTTCCTGAGCTAGCATGACAGCTCCTGCAGGCACCAAGATCGTAGGCTCTCGAGCAGTTTGTGAGAGTTCAAGTTGGCAACACTGTCTTCCCCTGGCTGCTAGAAGGGGACTGTCCTCTGCACCCTCTCAGCCTTCCTCCTGCCCCCCACATTCCCCTGAATTCCCTCAACTGCCCTTCTGCCCCCCTCACTTTCCCCATCCCCCTGTCATGGTGTCTCTGCTGCTCCTCACAGTCCCTGTGTCTTGTCCAGCCCCTTCATCCTGTTGGCCTGGTTTCAGTCCCATTGAAAACAGCGGGAGGTGGCAGCCAATTTGATGAAGGGTAGCCTCACATTAGAAGTTGGCAGCCATCTTGCAGGCTTCAGCTGTACTGATAGTAAGGGGAGATGGCCATTATGAACAAGGGAAAAGTCATGAGTTGGCATCTTTTGTCATGTTTTCATGAGACAGGAACCACCCCCCAACCCCCCAAATTGCTAGAGTTGTGATAAAATCACAAGAGTTGGCAATACTGGGTATGTCTCTACTTCAGTCGATCAGATAGACATAAACTAGCCCACACCAGCACGGCTAAAAGTAGCGGTGTAGATGTGGTGACATGGGCTAGTGTGCTTGTGCAACCTACCTAGAGAAGAGATAAGTCTAGGCTTGTATTGGTTGCAATTTACTTACCAATTCTGTGCTACAGAACTCCTCTATCTGACTTAATGTATTTGTACAAACCATGAACTCATATCCTTGCTAGACACTACAGCTGGGTTTTCTATAGGAACCCTCTAAATACTAAAAAGTGGAAATTATAATTGGATTGGCTTTCTTTTTCTTCTTCTTAAGAATCCAGTACCAGTTTTCACCATAAGACAGTTTCACACCCACACCCACACCATTAGCAGTTTCAAATTTCTTTTCCTCCCATTTTTTTTTTTACTGAATAACGCTCCAAAGACAAACCAGTACAGCACAGCAGTTACAGTGAACCCTAGCTAGATTAACAGCACTAACGAGAGATGCATTATTTACTTTTAAAATGAAGAATATAGCACGGAGCCTACACTCTAAACTATGTATATTTAAACCTCGCAAAATAAGTAGGAAGATTGGGACTTTTGCCAATCAGAGATCATCTACTTTCATGTAGGCTGAGTCTAGGTATTATACCGACAACTAGATCAAACTTTTAGCTGCCTGGAGAGTAGGAGGAGTAAGATTCTGACTCAGACACCAAGGAATCCCAGTTGCCCAGACTAGTGAGGGGATGGTGGAAATGGTACCGCCGGCACTGAGTACACCTCCGTTGTTTGCGGTGCCGGGAGCAGTGTTGACCCCAAAGTCAGCATCGGTACCGAAGTAACTAACGGTGCCGAAGAGGAGGGTGGTGACTGATGCCACAGTAACATTGGCGGCGCCAGCCACAGGCTACCGAAGAAGTTCCCGGTGCTGAGGAGGGAATCCAGTATCGGCCCCATTTCCACTGAGTGTGGAAAGGAAACACTGGGGTGTGGCGCTGACAGACGCATAGGTTCAGCAGCCCACCTAGTCAGAGGCCTGTAAACGATGCAGGCCTGGCAAAGTCCTGGACCAAGGGAGAGGTCAGGAGAGAAAGGCAGAGGAGGTCCACTGCTGCCTGATACAAAACCAGCCAGGGCCAGCATCGCCCTCGTCAGTCAATGGACACCCTGGGATCAGAACTGGAGTCAATGGTAAGGGATCTCTGTCCTCCCTGCGCAGTGCTGGGGAGCTGTTGACGGATCCTGCTCCATCCCGCACACTGGCATTCACCCTGTGCCAATCCACGCTCCTTCTGGAGGAGGGAGACGAGTCCCCATGGGACCTGGAGTGGCTTCAGTTGGTCTCATGTGACCGTTTCCATGGCATACTCGACGGGGAATGACTCTTTGGAGAGGTGCCAGCCCCAGGACGTGACGCGGCAGCACTTTCCGAACCCGAGGGCGACCTCCGAGCCAACAAGGCCTCGTGATGAAGCAGGCCGCATGGCCTGTCCAATGAGTTCGTTTGGTGAGCGAGCTGCAAATCAAACACCGTTCCTTGCCGTGGGCCTCAGCCAGCACCGGTGTGGAGATCGCCCTTCCCCTGCTCCAAACACTACAGACAACGTTTAACCACTGGGGAGAGCATCACCCGGGACCACTTAAACTCCAACTAACACACACTGTACTAGGAGCAGTAATGAACTATATGCATCCAGAAATAGAGGATTGTGAGGATGAAAATCACAGAGCTCTGACTCCAGCCATGGGCAGTAAGAAGGAACTGGGGGGGGTTAGGGAGAGGGACTATGGCCATGAGAGCCGCCCCTCTACAGATACTGCTAGGTAAAATTCTCTGGCTCCGGCGCACTGGGCGCGCACACACCTAAGTGGAATACTTTCAGCTGCATCTACTCAATGAAGAGAAATTACTTATTTTCGTTCTTGGAATTAGGGACGTTAACATATAAATGCTGCAGACCAATAAGGTCCAACCAATCTGTAAAATGACAGGAAACTGTATTGAGATCCAACCTACAGATTCAGTCTACATTACCCCTGGCAGCTCCACCTTCTCCTCGCTGGGCTGGGCTGGACCTACTAGTACTCAAATGGTTGCCAGTTTTGTACCCCTGATAGAACTCACTACTGATTGGTAAGTAGCTTTGAGCTTCTAACTAAAGGCACATGCAGGGGAATGTCTGCCCTTGGCGAAAACTTCCACACCAGCTTCCAAACAGCGCCTGAGCTGGTTAACAACTTCCTGCACTCCCTCTAGTGTGCGGAAACAGCAACCACTTGCTTGCAGTCCCTTGAGCCTCTCTCAAGCCACCTTATCTGGGAATGTTCCCTATCACACAGAGCAGGCAGCAACAGCAGCGGCAACTACAGCAATAACGACTTCTGGCTGAACCCCGGAAAAGAAAGGAGAGTTACGGATGTGCAGCCCACACTATTGCACTTTTTAGCCACGCTGGCAGTGGTAAAGCTAGAGTGGGTATGTGTGCTCATAGTGCAATCACACCTCCGCTTCCCTCAGGTGGTGAATGTGGGAAACCTGTATGACTGTTTGCCCTCAGTGGAATCTGTCTGTGCAGCTTCAAAAACAGCTACTGAATACGTCCACTAACTCCCACACCCTCCTCTCGGCCTCTGGGCCCTTCTCACTAAGGCCCTGTCTACACTAGCACTTAAGTCAGCAAAACTTTCATCGTTCAGGGTGTGAAAAAAGCCACCCCTGAGCCACATAACTTTTGCCAGCATAAGCACTTGTGTGCACAACACTATGTCGGCGAGAGAGGCTCTCCTGCTGTCATAGCTACCACCGCCCGTTATTATGTCCCCGGCAGAGCTCTCTCCCATCAGCACAATGTGGCTACACAAGCAATCTTACGGCAGCCCAGCTGTATCGGTACAGTGTAAGTGTAGACATTATAGACGTTTTCTGCCCTGCTATCTTAGGCTTTTCTACACTGGCCCTTTCATCGTTAAAACTTTTGTTGCTCAGGGGTGTGAAAAAACACACCCCGAACGACAAATGTTTTAACAACGAAAAGCGCCAGTGTGGACAGTGCTTTGCTGGTGGGAGCCGCGCTCCCGTCAACGAAGCTACTGCCCCTCGTTTGGGGTGGTTTCAT